GCCCTGCGCCGGGGAGCGCCGCGGCCCCACCGTCACCTGCCCCGCAGGGTCCTCTGCTGCGCCCCAAACCCGGGTGTCCCCACCCCGAGACGTGGGAAATGGGAGCACGCTGCTGCCCGTTACCCCGCGCTCCTCGCGGCCACCAGCCCTAACACCCAACGACCCCTTGGGCATCCACCGCCATGTCGTGCCCGAGAGCCAAGGGGCCTGGCTGGCTGCCCCTCTCCTTTGGGGCTTCCCGAGCCCTCTGGCCAGGCCGTGGCGCGTTGGGGCTTCCTTACTGCTGACCGCCAGAGTGAAACCATTCCAGAGTGACCCACCGGGCAGGGCCAAGCGGAGCCAGAGCATCCCCACCAGACAAAAAAACCTCGCTCCACCCCGGTACAGCATCTCCCATCCCCTTCCCCGGGTAAAAACCGGGTGGGCTGGTTCACCCTGGCCCCCGAAAGCGCTTTCCAGCTGCTCAGAGCATGTTCTGCTTAAGCGTCCCTCACGTACCTTGACCCCCAGCCTCACCCCAGCCTGGCACCGGGGCGGCTGTGCCCAAGGGGAGCAACGTGCCTCTGTCCCTGCTCAGAGCGGGGCAGCACTGCAGCCCCCCCTTCCCCTTTCACAGCAGCGGAGACGCAAGTTCTCCAGGGATGAGCACAGTCTCAGCAGCCCTGCTCTTACCCAAAACCAGTTTGCAACCAAGAGCAATGAAGCTCTGGGGAGGCAGCCGAGAGGGGTGTTTAACCCTTCCAGCCCCACAGTTACGCTGGCTGTGTTTACAGTCGCGCTGCCTCACAGAAACCCCGGCAACACGACGTCCTTGTCATTCCCACCCCAGCCCCAGCGGACGCATCACCCGTACTGGGAGCTCTGCAGGTGTCTGGGGCCATTGCAGCACGGCCCCACTGCCAGGCTCTGCTTTGCCGTTTAGCTCCCGGTGCCCGTTTGCATGGCTGCAATTATCGGCAGGGCACGGGGTGTCCTCCCTGGGCCCCCTCTTCCCATGAGGCTATTGCCACGATGCCCGCCAGAGCCGGTCCCGACCAGTGCCCCTGGTCCCCGCACACCATCCTGCCCGCACAGCTGCGCCTGCTCAGCTTCGCTCAACGCTGCGAAAGGTCACGCGATGGGAAGCTCCTGTTTCTATAAATAAACCACCCTGCTGTTTAATGAGTGATTTCAACTGGCACAGGCCAGGCTGGAAGCGGCACTGCAGCCAATACGGGGCGTTGGTAGCACAAGGGGGGTCCTGCCGAGCCCCCCCGCCCCACGCAGCCACGGGGGCAGCTCGCCGTGGTTTCACAGGGAAGTATCACACAGCCCGTGGCTGAGCTACAGCTGTGGCTCATTTCCCCTCGCTGGCCTCTGGTTTGAGCCAAAGCCACGTTTTTAACGTCCTGCAGCCCCTGGTTGGTCATTAATCACCTCCTGCCCGTAAATTCACAGTCAGGAAAGCCAGGCTACGAGTCGGTGCGAGGAGGGCAGGTGACCCAGTGACCACCAAATCATGGCCAGGACGTGGCTTGGGCTTTATCCCAGAGTGGCACCCGCCACCCTCCAGCCCAAATCACTGCAGGGAGCGATGGGGACTGCCAGGGTGCTCCCTGCGCCAGCCCAGCCCGGAGCACCCAGCGCTTATGGAGCCATTTCTGGTCTATCCCAGGCCCGGCCTGCCCTGTGGCGGTGGCCAGTGGACTTTGCCCTGCAGAAGACGCCGTGCCACGGGGGCCCTCCAGGGCGGGTGGCCCATCAGGGATGCCAGCAGCTCCCCCGTGCATCGCCTGAGCACGCTATGGCAGGTAGGCTGCAAAACCAACACTTCCACCCCTTTTCAGGTGGGAAAGACCCCCCCCTCCCTGGCAGGCATGGCCTGGGGTCTGGCTCATTTCTCCAGCCTTGCCTCGTAGGGCAGGCGAGGGTCCGTCCCAGCCCCGAAAACCGGCTTGGCCTGTTGCAAAACAGCCACAAGCGCCATTGGCTGCCAGACCCCCATGGCAGAGCTTGTTTTTCTGGGGAAGCTGGGATGGCTACAACTGTTGCCAGCCCAGCTGGGAGCTGGCTCAGATTTCCCATCCAAATCCCCCTTCCCGCTGTGCCCCCAGACCTTTGCAGCGTAGCCCCCGAAATCCTCGTCCCAGCCGCTAACGAGACACTGGAGCTGGCGCTGGGGAAGCAGGTAGCGCTGAACTGCACCGTGCGATGGGCGGCCGCTGAGCGCTGCGAGCCCATCCCTGCCTGGACCAAAGACGGGCAGTGGCTGGGCAGTGGGAGCAGCCAGGACACTGCCTGGTAAGGAGCCTGCCCTGGTCTCTGTCTGTCTGTCTGTTGGGGTGGGTTGCTGCACAGCCTAACCAATGGTGGCCCCATATCCCCCCAGGTTTGCCCAAAATGCCTCGGAGTGGCTCCTTGCCAGTGTCCTGCAGCTCAACCTCACACACGATTCTGACTTTGGGGTGTTTGCCTGCTGGGTCGGCAATGCCACGGCCACCTTCACCCTGCGGCGAGCGGGTAGGGACATGCTGGGGACAGGAGGGACACCTCCAAGGAGGGGCTGCTTGCCTCGGGCAGGAACTGCGGCCCCACGGGGACCATCGAGGCGGGTGTTAGGGGCATCGCAGCCTCTCCCCGGGCAGTGCAGCAGGGTGCCAGCCTACACCAAACCCAGCAAACCTGGGCCAGGGCCACCGGCCATGCTCACTGTGTCTCCCCTGTCCTCGCAGAGGTGGCAGGGCACGTGCCTGCAGTGCTGGCAGCCCTCCTGGTCCTGGCGCTCCTGGTGCTGCTAGCCGGGCTCTATGTCCGATGCCGCCTGAGCGTCCTCCTCTGGTACCGGAACCACTACGGCGAGCTGGAGATCAACGGTGAGGCATCGGGGAAGGGCATGGGGGCGGTGGCCCCCTCCCCGAGCTGGGGGCTTGCCCAGGCGTAGAGCCCTCCCTGGCATCACACCCCCTTCCCCGCGGCTCTCCCCAGATGGGAAGCTGTACGACGCCTATGTTTCCCACGCCACCACCCCCGATGACCGAAAGTTCGTCCACTTCATTGTGAAGCCGCAGCTGGAGAACCGCTATGGCTACAAGCTCTTCCTGGATGAGCAAACCATCCTGCCCAACTCAGGTAAGCACCAGCCCTGCGCGGGGTCAGGCAGAGGGGCCGCACCAGCACCCGGGGGCTTGAAATCCCTTTGCCTGCAGAGCCATCGGCCGACCTGATCATGAACGTGAGCCGGTGCCGGCGTCTCATCGTGGTCCTCTCTGTCGCATACCTGGAGCAAGACTGGTGCAACAGCAGCTTCAGGTAGGAGCGGTGCCTGCCTGCTCCCGGGGGGAGAGGGGCCAGTGAGGCCTTCGCCCTGCTGCCACGTGCCTTTCTCACAGGGAAGGGCTCTGGAGGCTGCTGGAGCTTTCCAAGAAACCCATCTTCATTGTCTTTGAGAGCCAGTACCGGGAGATCACCCACCCTGCTATCAGCCTGCTGAAGCAGCACCGCAGTGCCGTCACCTTGCTGGTGTGGCGAGCCGGCTCCATGGTGAGAGCCGAGCAGCACCCCAGCACCCCCCTTTCCATCCCCAGTGCCATGCTTTGTGTCAGCCTCCCCTCAATGCTCTGGGGCTGCTCCTCATGCTTCAGTTCTCCTAAAAAGCAGGTTGGGATGCTTATCTTTTAGAGGCAATTTCAAAAAAACACCCAACCACAACAGCTGTGGATCTGGGTGCTCAATTCCTGGACTTGTGCCATCAGAGGCCCCATGACACTCTGGGGCCTCCCTGAGCTCAGGCACCAGCATGAAGCCTCAGCTCTCACGGCGAAGCTTTGGCCTGTGGCTGCTCCAGCCATTTCAGGGCCAGGCAGGAGCTGGAGCCCTCCGGAGCGTTGCGGCCGGTTGGGCCGGTTTCTCAGCAGGCACGCTGCCACGCTGGGAGTGCAGCCTTCGCTTTGGCTGGGCTCCAATGCTGGGAGGGGTGAGCTGAGCCCCACACAGCCTTTGGCAGCACTGTGCAGGGCCAGGCTCAGCTCCAGGCTTGTCCTGACGCAGCCCATCTCCTCCCTGCCCCACGCAGACCCCATCCTCCGAATTCTGGAAGGAGCTATGCCTGGCACTGCCCCGCAAAGTGACCTTCCGAGGGACGGTGGGGGACCCACAGACCCAGCTGCAGGAGGACAAGGACCCCATGCTGATCCTGCACAGCAGCTACCTGGACAGCGGGGGAGACCCCCACCCCGACGGGGACCTCGGAACAGGTCTTTGGCCCCTGCTGCTTCTCCTGGGGAGGCAGATGTGCACTGGAGAGCACCTCTGGGCTCTGCTTCACCCTCCCATGCCAGGCGGGCTGGGCTTAGCCCCCTCCCCACCACCTAAACCCCCTCTCCCTGCTCCTTCCAGGCCTCCGAGGATGTGTTTTCAGAAGCCCCCCACCTCCCCGCATCAGTGGCCCCAGTGCTCCCACAGCAGAGGAGCCACAGCTGAGGGAGGGCCAGAGGCCCGAGATTGATGTCTCGGACCTGGGATCACGCAACTATGGTGCCCGCACGGACTTCTACTGCCTGGTGACAGAGGATGACATCTGAGCGGGGCTGCCGGCCAGTCAAGGCAGCATCCCACTTCCCTGCGGGGCTGCACCGACCTGGGTCACAGCCGGAGGAGCCTGGGCTTTGCGATGGGACCCAAGGCGAGGTCCCGGGGAAGGGCAGGAACCGGCTCCTTTCAGCAGCATGCTGCGTGGGGGAGCACCAGCTTCAGGGGACACCCCTGGGTGCTAGGCCCCCCTCCCTCACCGCGGGCACAGGGACATTCTTCGTGCGCTGGGTTGGGCGATGCTCTCTGAGAAGGGCCGTGCCCAGTCCTGGCGGCTCAGGGCTGGGAAACGCCCGATGGGAGAGGCCGAGGCACCTTCTCTCCTGTGGCAATAAAATGCTGCTGTGCCCAGCGTGTCTCTTCCCTCTGTGGGGATGCGGGTGCCACCGGCAGGTCTCCCCACAGTGGGCAGCACCAAGCTGTGTCCCCTCCCTGTGCCCTCAGCCCCACCGTGCTGATGGGGAGCAATGCCCGGCCATGGTGAGTGGGGTGGCCCCGTGGGGTGAGCTCAGCCCCATGCCAGTGTCCTGCAGGGAGCTCCCCCCACCCCATGTGCCAGCCGAGCGCGCAGGGGCAAGCAGGCGCCGTTCAAGGGCTTTATTTCAGGGGTACACCGGGCTCGGGCACCTGCCACATGGAGAGCTGGGGAGACAAACACACCATGACCCCCCTACCTTCCTGGCCCCGGCAGCACTGCCCGGTCTCCCCCACCCTCCACCCCTGTACCTACTCTACCTCATTTCCCAAACAGGGCGTTCGATGCCCCCCCAAGCGTAGGGTCTCCCCACCCAGCCCCAAACCCACTGGCAGACCGACCAAAGCTGCCCCGCAGCCCACCCGCACGCCCCGGCCCAGTCATCGCCTCACCAGGGAGAGCCTTGGACCCGCTGCCCAGCCAGCGCTGGGCACCGAGGGCATCTCCCTGCCCTGCGGGGAGACGCCACCCGGCAAACACCGGCCAGCCCGGCCCCAATCCTGCTTACACAGCACCGGCCAGGCCCAGCCCTGAGCGCAGCAGCTGGCAAGGAGCAACAGCTGCGGCACAGCACAGGGACAGTCCCCATGGGGCGTACGAGGTGGCTCTGAGGGCCCCCGCCTTCTTGCAGTGAGGGCACGAGCGGCCTCAGTCACAGTACCCCCACCCCTGACAAAGGAGGGACACAGCTCCATGGTGCCAGTGCTGCCTGCCAGCTCCCTACAGCCACGGTGCCACCCCATAAAAATTTGGGAAAGCCCCTGAGCTCTGCAAAGCCCCATCTGCACCCAGCCAGGGCAGCGCCTGCATAACCCATGGCACGTCCCACACCAGCTCCCTCCCAGCCTCTGGCACCCCATGACTGGGGGAGTTGCAATGGGGTGCCCCTAGAAGCCCCCTCCCCACCAGCATCACTTTGCAGGAGCTCTCCCCCCAAAAGCCCTCCAGCTCCTGTCCTTCTGCCGAGACAAGCTGAGCTTTGCCACGACTCCCAAGGAGCAGGAAGGGTCCCCAGGGGCTGAGCACCCCTGGGTGCCACGGGGCAGACCCCCACTAACTGGGGTGCCAGCAGGGTCCCGCAGCAGAGCCAAAAGCAGTCACTGCATTTAAGGCTGTGGTGGGAGGGAGGACAAGTGTCCCCCCACCCAGGAATGGGGGATGGAGAGGCGAGGGAAGCAGCGGAGACTACACTATGGAGCGGGGGTCCGGCAGCGAGCAGCCTCCCTGGAGGAGCGTCCCAGCAGGCAGTCAGGGCTGGGCAGTCCGGCGGGTGGGGGGTGTCCTCACAGGCCGAGGAAGTCCTCCTTCCGGTAGCCCTTCTGCCAGGAGACAGGCCACCGTCACCTCCCACCCAGGGACAGCAGGAATGCCAACACCGACCCTGTGCCAGCACCAGCATGGCCAAGCTGTCCCCGTGCCAGGCCCATGGCCATCCTCCCCCACCGGTGCGGGTGCCACCGCAGTGACAACACTCTGGGGATGTCCCCAACCCTTCATGAGGGGGGAGGCATGGAGTTGAGGCTCATTCTCTGCCCAGAAGCATTTGGGCAGTGTGGCTTTCTGGGGTGAAACCCTTGGCCTGGAGTCCCTTGGGATCCACCCGTAGGATCCAGCACTGGGTCCCACCAGCCGGAGCGGGCGCTGGGGGGTGGTACGTACCGTCTTGAAGTCCCGGTGGAGCTTGGTGTACTGCCACATGTTGCCCAGGAGGCTGGCTGCAGCTCTGGAGGACTTCTCGTTGTCCGAGCTGGGACAGGGACAGGATGCAATGAGCTTTGGGTACTGCTGCACAGGGGATGGTGCCCACAGCCCAAGGACACCACCCCAGGAGGGCCCCGAGGGGCTCAGAACTTTGCACCAGTGGGAAGACTAAAGGCTGGAGCCCACTGCAGTGGGCAGGGTGGCAAACACCGCTGGTGAGGCAGCTGAAAGCACCCAGATGGGAAGGAGGAGGCTGCAGTGATGGGCAACCCCCTGGTGGGCTGTCCTGAGGAGGTGGCAAGGGGCTGGTCGGTGGCCATGAGGCCACTCTGAGCTGGTCTGGGGACTCCCAGCACCAAGCCTGGGGAAGAGAGACTGGTTATGACCCTCTCCCACCCCACCAGGCCAGGGGAGGAAGGGCAGAGCAGGACGGGACACCAGGTCTGAGCTGGGACAACAGAGCAGCTCCCACCTGTCCCTTCTCTTCTTAATGTAGAAAAGCTTTCGGAGGCCGTCAAAGTAGACGATGTCACGGGCGGCCATGGGGCTCTCCACCACCAGGTTGTTGAGGACTGCAATGATGTTCACGATGACATCGGCGGGCGGCGCCTTGTCCCCGACACTCCCCGGCAGCTTCTCAATCAAGTGACTCACCACCTTGGTGGCTGGTGGGCAAAGGCAGCACATCAGGGCTGGTGGCCAGACCCAGGGGACACGCAGCAGCCTGGGAAAAAACCCTGCAGCCTCCCGGGGCTGAGGGGGGGACAGAGGGTCCAGCCACGGGCCTGAGGGGCAGCACTGGGGACGACTTCAAGCCCTTTGCTCTGTGGAGTCTCTGCTGAGACTCCTCAGCACCTGCGCGAGGAGTTGGGAGACGAGGACAAAGCTGAGTGAAACGGTGGGGTTGGTGGCAGAGCACAGAGTGAGGGGTTCGGTTATGGGGGACAGCCCGGCCATGCACGCAGGGAAGGTGCCAAGACGTGGCTGGAGGCCAGACCAAGGAGGGGAAGGGTGGAGGGCATCCACTGGGCTCCCCCCGGCAGCTGCAGCCCTGCCCAGCACTCACACATCTCGTCCTTGTTGCGGGCATGGCGGGACAGGTTGCGGATGAGCCCCGTCAGGGAGCGCAGCTGGTGGTGGTCGGCGGTGCGGACGCGGTCCAGCACGGGGTTCAGGATGCGTTCCTGCTCCAGCGCCAGCCGGCTCAGCACGCCCGCCCACTGCCAAGACAAACACCCGCTGCCAACCCGCCGGCTGCCGCTGCCTCCCACCCCACCCTCCTCCTCCTCCTCCTGCTCAGTGTGATGACCCATGCCCAGGTGGTGAGAACCATGATAGCCATCTCTCCCACCCAGGAAATGGTGGCACGTCCCCTCCCCAGGCATGGCGGTGACCGGCCGTGTGCTGGGGACAAGCGGGTGGGACGGGTCAAACCCCAAGGGTCAGTGGCCGTTCCCCTTGCATGCCCTCACCCTGCGGTCCCCCGCGGTGATGTTCTGCAGGGCGCCCGAGGCCGCCTCTGTGGTGTGCTTGTTGAGCTCGCAGCGCTGCAGCAGCCGGTTATAGATGCCCACGATCTGCGGGTTCCAGAGCCACTCCATGCCCTTGGGGTCCTTGGAGACCTCCGTGAAGGTGACGATGTCCGCGTTCAGGTAGTGCTGTGGGTAGGGGGACAGCCCTGTCAGACTCACAGAGGATGGCCCTGCTGCGGTGTCTCTCGCTGCCTGTGTCCCCTTTTCCCTCAACCATGGGGCAGCTCTAGGCTAGTGGGGACCTGGCAGGTCCCCCCGGCTGCGTTGCGCCCCATGGCATGTGGGGGTTTGGCACCCTGATTCACACCACACACCTGATTCACCCTCAGCTGAGCTCACGCGTGTCCCACCCATCAGCCGAGGCTGGCGTCCACCTCCACCCCAGCGTCACCTGCACCGCCGGCCGCGTCCCAGTGCCAACCCCGCCCCAGTGAGGCAGCCGCCGCGGAGCCCACCGCCTCCCCAGCCCTGACCTCACGTGCTTTCTTGCTCTGGGGGCTGAAGCAGCCCACCAGCTCCCCTGTCACCACGTTGCTGTTGTTCCTCCTGTGGCCCTCCAGGCGCTGGAGGGACGACGGGGGCATCTCATCGTACAGGCGGTAGGAGAGGTTGCGCAGGACGCAGACGGCATTCTCCACGCTCTGGGGAGGGGAGACGGGACACAACGGGGTCAGTCCTTGTGCCACCTGCCAGGGCGTCGCCAGCTGGCATGTCCCCTGGGGCACAGTCGCATGGGGCTCTGTGGCCAGAGTCACCCTGATGGCACCAGTGGTGCCCCACTGTGCCCAGTAAGCCCAGAGGGAGCCAGAATGGTTTTCCCACCAACACAAGACAGTCAGGCAGGAGGGAGCAGTGCCCTGTCAGAGGGTACCCAAACTCTGCCAGCTCCCGGGGCTCACCTTGTCCTCTGACTTGCCCACTTCCAGGGAGCTGTTCACGTAGTGGATCATGGAGTCCACCAGCCCATGGCACTCGCGCATCTTCTGCCGGGTCTGCTGGCTGGCAGAGCTGAGATTCCTGCACGGGGAACACAGGTCAATCACAGCAAGAAAGGGCTTCCCCACAGCCACCCCCTCCTGCTGCTGAGCACCACCACGGGGAGGGTGGAGAATACCTCTCCTGTGGGGCTGACCCGGCTTTGCCTAGATGCATGAACCCTGCAAGGGACAGGGACCCCAGAAACCAGCCCTGGAGCCCTCATTCCTTGTGCAGACAGAGCAGATGGGGTCTTTTCCCACACCCAAAAGTTCACCCACAGCAGGAGGAGCAGATCCAGCCCAGAGCAGGTACCTGAGGAAGCCCGTGGAGTTGTAGAAGATCTCTGCCTCTGAGGGGTTCTGCTGGATGACACCTGAGCCCCCCAGCCCAGAGAGGGGGACCAGGACCAGGTCTGTAAGCTGCTCCAGCGTGTCCCGGGCCAGGCGATCCTTCAGGTTGTCACTGGAAGAGAGATTCCACAGGATCCCTGCGCAGAGAAGGACCCTCAGTCCTGGGAATGGCTGGAGAGTGCGTCCTCCCCAACTCAGCACCCCATGGGCTCACGCCGACCACCCTCAGTCAGGAGCAGTCGTGGGATGGGGCAGGTGACAGCGACAGAAAGATGCCCTCCCCATGAAGTGTCAGCCCAACTTTACTCCTGGCTGGGGGCACCAAGTGCCACCCTCAAGGGAGGAGGACCCCCAACCCACCCCTGCCCTCAACCCTGACCTGTGACGTTCTTGCGGAGCTCATCGTCAGGCTCTCGCAGTGTCCGCATCAGCTCGTAGATGCCATTCTCCTCCACCAGCGCCAGCTTGTTCTCGGCATTGTCATAGATGAGGTTGCGCATGGCACCCGTGGCATGGCGCTGCACCTCCTGGTTGGGGCTGTTGAACAGCTTCACCAGCTTGGGCATGGCCTGGAGGCTGCGGGCCTGGGAGGGGAGAGCCCGGTACGTTGGGACACCTGGCCGCGCTCCCATTCAGCCAAGGGTGGGCTCCCTCCGGCCCCTCCACCTTCCCCAGGGTGCTCCACCCCACAGAGGGGCTGGGGACAGCCCCTTTTCCCTCGTCTCCTGGGAGCTCACCTGCTTCTTGGCGTTGCTGTCACTGTAGCATTTGTGTTGGAGGTAGGCAGCACCCAGGACCTGCAGGTTGGGGTCACTGGCTATCAGGTATTTCACTGCCGAGGGCAGGTCGATGTCGTCAAACCTGGAAGCCACAGGTAGGTGAGGAAGAGCCCCGGCAGAGCATCCCACGGTGGTCCTCCGCCCCTGCACCCTGCCATGTCCTGCATCTCGGTAGGGACCCATCAACCCACCCCCTAATCACTACGTGCCTGGGGCCGGGGACCCCAGACCCACCTGAACAGGCACCTTCTGCCCTCGTGTCTCAGGACATGCGAGCAAGAGGAGCTCAGGCCCCAAGCAGGACATGCTGGGAGGCTGATCCACGCCACAGTCCATCCCCAAATGGTGGCACAGTGGGGCCAAACTGTGCCACCATCTCCCCCCTCCTCCCGCAGCCCTTGCAGCGGGGCAGTGCCAGGCCGGAGATGGAGGGTTTGCCCTCAACTGGCCAAGCAACTGAGGTGGGGACAAGGGCTGAGCCAGTGCCATGAGCACTCACCCGCCCGACGGGTGGCCGAGCAGTGCACTGTGCCCGTTGTACATCTCCGCAGCGCGCTGGTCCTGGAGGTGGTGGCTGGACTCGGCCAGGCTGCGCACCGAGGGCGCACGAGAGCTATGCTCCACCATCCCCATGTATGAGCTCCCGAGACCCGCTGGCGGGGCCGCCTGGATGCTGCCGAAGGAGCCAGTGCTCAGCCGCGACCGGTTGTTGCTCTGGAAGCGCTGGAGCGTGCGCATGGCAGGCGCCCGGATGGTGCGGCTCTGGGTCACCTCGCCGCCCTCCAGCCAGTCAGATGCGGCCTTGGTGGCAGAGCCGGCGCTCATCTGCCTCTCAAAGGTGTAGGAGCGGGTGAAGCCACCGTTGCCTTGGCTTTTATAGAGGGGACGGTGACCAATGGGCTCCAGCTGCTCTGAGATGACACTGTAGCGGTCGTCTGCCATGGTGGGGGGCTGGAGCGGCCCGTCGGCCAGCCGCAGGGAGCGCAGCGAGAGGGTGTCGAAGTTCTGCCGGGACCGGTAGTTGCGCTCGTGGAAGGAGCTGGGCCGTGGAGAGGTGGTGGTGGTGGTCTGAGACAGGGTGTAGCCAGCACCGTAGCCCCGGCCCTTTGCCAGGCCCCCATTGCTGATGGTCGCCATCCGCTTGTGCGGGGTGAGGTCGACCGCTGAGCGTGAGGACCAGCTGCTGCCCTTCAGGGTGCCAAAATCCTTCTTGGCCAGTGGCTGGTACAGCTGCAGGGGGGCAGGAGGGGGTTAGGGGGTGGCTGCAAACCCGTCCCTCCAACCCCACCCCAGGGAGTGGGAAGGATGGAGCCGAGAGCCTCTACTGGCACAACCAAAGCTACAGCCGGCGGCTGGGTATCAACCAGATCCCCAGCCACGTGCACTGGCGCAGGGTGGGGGCTGAACCCCCCGGTACATACCGAGGCTTTGGGGTCCAGGCCATTGCTCTGGGAGTGGGAGCTGAAGGAGGAGCGCAGGGTTGTGCCATACTGTCCACCTGCGGGACAGAAACAGGGGGTTGGTGTGTGCAATGGGGAGAGACTCATCCCGGGCGGACCTGCTCGAGGAGCCCCCAAGACCGAGGGAGATAAGGGAGGGGGAGAACACTGCCTCCACCTGCCTGCTGGCAGTGGGGAGCAGGAGAGGCAGCAGCAGTGCCAAGTGGTGGCCTCCCACCTTCCACCATACCCCAACAGCGAAGGGACTAATTGCCACCTTGGTGGGGACACAGCAGCTCCACCTGGTCCCCTCAAGCCAGAGCTAGAGTGGCAGGGCCAGGCACCCACCCCCCAACCAAAGCCCATCGCGGCTCCATCACCCTGGGGACCCCAAGCTGCACCCTGCGCTTCCCTCCCGCCCTGACACCTCCCAGGGCTGCCGGCGGCGACGGGGAGGGGGACGCTGCCAGCCCCGGAGGTGACGGGAGAGTGACTCACGCCCGCACCCGGGGAAGCCCTTGGGGTGCTAAGGGGAAGGTCTCCCCCCACTGCTCGGGTCCCCCAGCACCTTGGATTATGGGGGGGGCTCGGTGGGACCCCGTGCTGGAGCTGGGCGAAGCGGCAGGGCGGAGGCCGCGAGCGCAGACGTTAAATGGAGGAGCTTGGAGCCCAGCCAGCGGCGCTGCTCAAAGGCTGGGGGGGACGGGGGATGGGAAAAACCTCCCTCCCCGGACCAAAACGGGGTGTGGGACCCCCGGCAGTGTAAACTCCCCCAAGGGACAGGTGGGGAAACTGAGGCACGACCCCTGAGTGGGGTGAAATGACCCCACACTGGGGCCGTGCTGTCCCCATCCCTGGTGCCGGGAGGGTTCGGTTGGGCTGGGGGGCGCGACCCCTCAGTCGGGGTGTGAGCCGAAGCGTGGTGCCAGCCAAGGGCTTGCCACCTCCTGCTCCGATGCCTGCGCCCTGGGAATGGTGTGGGGCGGGGGGAGGGATGCCCGGAGCGGGGGGGTTCTCCCACCTCTGCTGCCGTCGGCGTGGTCAGGGGCATCGTGGCGGGCGGGCGTCT